AAGACAGCAGAGCAGGGACGAGAAACAGAAAAATCGTAAACAGGAGGTAAAATTTGAGCTCTGGTAGAAAGAACCTTATCATTAAAAAAGAATAAAAATTTTTGACAAAGGGCGGGGGAAGACTCAAAACAGGCAACCTGAGGGACATTCAGAACTGAGTCAATAACTTTAAACAACACATGAGGCTTATGACAGTTTGACTGAATGATATTAGAGAAATAATTTCTCTTAAGATTTTTCACAGTTTTTTGATAATCATGCCAAGAGTCTTTAAGTATCTGAAGTGACACTTGTAGTTTGTCCTTTTTCCACTTGCGCTCAGCCCTGCGACACTCACGCCTGGCAGCACGGGACTCTTCATTTAACCAGGGCTCGAGCTTAGTCTTGGGGCGCCTGGTCCTCAATGGTGCCACCGCATCGATGGCGGCCTGACAGGTGGAGTGAAGGTGTAATGCAAGCTCTTCTGTATCCGTAGAATCAGGAATAATGAGGTTTCCATTAATAAAGTCAGAGAATTGAGTGAAAGTGGAGGAATTAAATACACGGCAGAGCTGTGGGGCAGCGCAAGGGGCAGTAAGACAATAATTAAGATCAATTGCAAATAACACGGGCAAATGATCAGAAAACACAGCATCACAGATTTCCAACTCACGAACAGGTACACCATAAGATAAAACAAGGTCCAAGGTGTGCCCATGCTCATGGGTAGGACCAGCCACAGATTGTGTGAGATTAAAAGAATCAATAAGATCTAAAAAGGCCTTAACTAGAGGTTTGTCAGGGCAACAAACATGTATATTAAAATCCCCAATAATCAAAACCTGCTCATATCTAGGCATAAAATAAATCAGGAAGTCAGAAAAATCACTTATAAAATCCTTATTAAACTTAGGTGGGCGATAGATCACAGCCCATAATAGGGCCGGAGAGTGTCCCAGCTCGAATAAGGACATCTCGAAGCTGGAAAAAGAAGGTAAAGATAAAATCTGCTTGCATTTAAAAGTCGATCTAAACACTGTCGCTATTCCCCCTCCACGGCCCGATGACCTCGGGGAATTGAAAAACATACAGTCAGGCGGCTGCAATTCAAGGAGAGGACTAGACTCACCCACGCCCAGCCAGGTCTCAGTCACGCAAAGAAAGTCCAATCCTCGAGAAATAAAAAATTCCTTTAAAATAAAAGACTTATTTGCCAGCGACCTAGCGTTGACGAGGCCGATTTTAATGGGAGTCGGCAGGCCAGCCATCCTGGAGACTCGCTTCAGTGATCGTAGATTTGAGCGATTTATCCCACGTCGACATAGACGTGGATAATAGCCACCAGGCCATCGACTTCCCCAGTCCGAGCCAACCACTGACACCAGCGAACAGCCAACAGGATCCAAACAACGCCATGAGGCGCGGAGGCCGGCAATCGGGGTAAACCGCGCCAGAGAGGCCAAGGAAAGGCCCGCCAAGGAGGCTTTAAGCCTTACCAATTGTCCCCCACGCCTGCCGCGACGTCTCCTCCTCCTCCTCCGGAATGGAAAAGCTGGGGCGCGACAAAGGTGAGCAGGTATTTCAGATAAAAACGGAGGCAGAAACTTGTGTCCGTGATAGTCAGTCTGCACTAGAGTTGGAACACCCAAGCGAAGATTCAACAAAGTTTGGCGATCGTATGACAGTAAAGAGTCCCCATTCTGGATGAAAAAAGAACAATACAGCACAAAAACGCACAAAATTAGGAGCGGTAGACGGCAGGCCGTGCACACTGGCGCCATCTTTTTCTCCTTCCTACTGGAAGGAGAGAAAGACAAATTTAGCCAATGTATTTATTTTTGAGCAATTTGAAATATGAAAAGTGGGTTTTATTGTTTTGTCATGTGTTGTGACTGTTATTAAGAGTGACCTTCCTTCTGGTCTTATTGTGGAGACAGTGCAGAAGTTCACATGCATTATTTTTTTGGTTAGGACAGTCACCTGATGTTGACCCCTTCCTTCTTTCTATCTTAGGCTGATCGCCCCCCTTCATTGGTCTCTTCTCTGTGCGTAAGGGCTCCCAGCTTAGATGGACTCTCGACAGAAGCCAAGGTTTCAGTTCCAGAGAGTCCTCAGCCTCTAGCTGCAGAGTCTGTGGACTGTGGTGAGGACAGGGTCGATGGTGGGATTGTAGATGGCAGTAGTGAGGCTTCTTTGTCTGCAGAAACATGTTCTTCCTCTTATCCTGGCTGGATAAAAAGCCCCGAGAGAGGCCCAGCTGGACCAGCTAGCCTGAACTTCTCCCCCGTCAACTCAAACTTAAGGGACCTCACCCCCTCACACACCCTGGAGCCTTTGGCAGCTCCCTTCAGGCCCGAACCTGCAGCTGGTGCTGCAGCAGGGCCTACAGCAGGCACGGGGTCATTGGTTGGCTCTCAGGGCTCCTTCAGTGAAGGCCAGGGGCAGCTCTTCTACCCCTGTTCTGAGGACGGAAGTTCGCTCGGCTTCTCACGCTCACTGAATGGGGATGGTACCAGTGAGGGTGGAGGCTTGACACAGAACCCCCCACAGAAGAAAAAGGTGAGGGTGCAGTAATTTTGTACTAATTTCTTCTACTGCCTTTTACATCGTCATCCTTGTAGAATTGTTATTTTTATTCTGTAAAAATTACCAAAAATTGGAGGTGCAGTTGCAGGTAATGTATGTATTACATTGTAATTGGGTTTATTATATCGGAAAATAATTTGATGGCATAAAAAAGTGATATGCTGTGTAATGGATCTACAGTGAGTAGCTAACGAATAAGTCTGACACAATTATTTAATCGATTATTTGTCATTTTTCAAGCAAAACAATCATTCCCCTGTTCTGGTGTATAAATGTATAAATTGTAAGGATATGTGGCTTTTTTTCTTATGTGTTAGTAAATATATTTGGGTGTATTTGAATGGACAAAAGTAGATAGGGTATTTGAAGACACTACCTAGGGTTTAAGGCCCAATCAATTAATTGAAAAAAGAAAATGATGGGCAAATAAATCATGAGATTAATGAGAAATATAACACTAGAATTACAGTACAAGCCTTGCGATGGATTGGCGACCTGTCCAGGGTGTACCCCGCCTTCGCCCGATTGCCGGCCGGGATTGGCTCCGGCCCCCCCCCCGTGACCCCGCAAGGGACTAAACGGTAGAAAATGAATGGATGAATGAATGAATTGCAGTACAAATGGTTATGTGTAGTAATGTCTGTAGTGATATTAAGAAGTGTGCCGAGCATCATTGTCCAGACATGTATCTGCATCCCATACTCCTCAGTGTGGCTGAGAAGATGATCTCTGGGGATTTTCCGACTCACACATACACTGCCAGGTGCTGCCCTCTAATGGTTTGATATAAGATGTTTGCTTTTTGTTTATAAATGACACTGTGTTTCTGCATCTTCTCAGGTTTCCTTGCTAGAATACAGAAAACGTCAGCGTGAAGCTCGGCGTAGCGGCTCTAAGACTGAGTGCAACTCTCCTGTGTCCCTTGTGCCACCTTTATCTGTGGACTCCTTCCCCATCACTGTAGAGGCTACCAGTGAGTCTCCCCTGCCCACTGTTCCCACTGCTCTCTGCAGCAACAGCCCCACCACTGTAAAAGACCCCCAGACAAGTGAGGAGGCAGAGACTGCTGCAGAGAAAGGAGAGAAGGAAGGAGAAGGACGGTGGTATGTCTTCTCATTGAATTTGCATAATGTTTTTCTATTATCATGGTGTGTGTGTATGTATGTATATGTATATGTACTTTTTTTTTAAGCACATAGTGGTTAAATTTTCTACTTTATTAAACACAGAGATATTTATTCTTGACAGTTGTAAAAGAACCAACATATCCTGAATTGCAGTTCACTTATTTTAGTATTTATTGTTAGAGAATGGGGTTGCAGGTTTTTAGGTCAGTTTCTATATATCAAATGTATTGGTGCCAGTGTATTTAGTAGTATATCCACTATATGCTTTCTTACTGGAAATATGATTGTTTTGATTCTGATGTTTCTCTTCAGGACCTCGTCAACTTCTGTAGAACAAGCTCGGGAACGGAGCTACCACAGAGCTCTGCTGCTCAGCAAAGATAAAGAGACAGGTGAGAATAATGGTGGAGGACAAGACTGGTTTTACAGTAGCAGGGCTTTTCACATGTTGGACATCTTTACTTCTTTGTAAAACTGTCCCACCATATTTCCAGATGGCGAAGCAGAGGGTGGCGATACGCCTGCGCTGCGAGATTGTCCATCGCCAAGTCTGCAAAAGACCCTGACCCACGCTGTAAGCCAACATTACCCCTGGGCTTTTTATTGGAAGGTTTTATTGACTCTGTTTATATTTTATTTAAGTATTGTAAGCATTTGGTCTACAAGTTTTCTAAATATGTCTTCAAATTGTGTGTCCAACCAAAAGTCCAAATCTAAACAGTTTACTGTCAGATAATCATATTTTTAAAACTTGGAACTAATTGTTTAATTGACTAAGTGTGTCAGCTCTAATTGGCCTTCACCTGTTTTATTTGTTAGTGTCTTATCTATTTTTTATTGATAGAACTATGATACACTGACCTGTATGCATTACTCTCATTGTTGTACTGTTTATACTTGCATTTGCATATATTTGCTTTACAAATCAAGTTTGACAAGTTGACATGGTGGAGATCCGATTCATCTCACATACAGCTAGGTGACAAATGAGCGAAAACCTTGAATAAATCAATGGGGCTCTCTTCTAGTGTGTTGGTGCCTCCATCCATAGGACACGAGGGGTCACTGAATGGTTTGCGTATGAAAATTATGTGAATCATATGCTATGGCTGTCACAGTGACCAGATCTCAACCCATTTGAATAGCTATGGGAGATGTTGGCGCAACATGTTAAACAAACACCACAAGGTAAAGAATGGTGTTCATCCCTCCAGGACAGTTCAGGGACTTGTAGAATCAATGCCAGGGTGTACTGAAGCTGTTCTGCTGCCCCAACACCTTACTAAGGCACTCTGTAGGCTTTAGCTTTCATTTGTCACCTGTCTGCAGTTATCAGCAAGTGTTTGATTTCTCCTCTCTCCTCTGTCACAGCCCTGCTCCCCGGGTCCTCTTACCCAAACTCCCAGTCGGCCAGCAAAGGAGGAAGAGGGAGATGGTCAACCTCAGACGCCAAATCCCACCAGCCAGCCACCGAGCAAGCCTGCAGGACCTAAGTCAGCTCCTCTGACCCCAACAAAGCTGCATCCCACCCCATTACCGTCCTCTCCGGTCCACTACCCTGGGTCCTCCCTCCTCCACTCTCCTAAGTCTCAGCCTCAGGGCTCGCCCTACCGCAGCCAGAGGGCGCTGTTCTCAGCTCAGCCTCAAAACCAGGCCCAGGCTCAGGCTCAGACTGGCCCTGCTCCTTTCCCTCAGTATACCTCACAAGGTGCTCCGCCACCTCCTCCCCCTCCTCCACCAGCACCACCGGCCTCCACATCTTATTTTCCCAGCCAGAGCCCTTCACCTGCTGGACCTTTCTCTGGGTTTAAACCTGCAGTCACACCCCCTTATCCCCCTGGTTCTCAGGCCCTGATACAAACACTTCCCCACAGTGTGCACTATCAGAGCTCAGCTCCACCGCCGCCACCTCCGCCACCTCCACCACCTCCACACCCGATGTCCAGCCCCACCATGTTGCACGTCAACCTTCAGCCTCCTCCCATCCAGCAGCACCAGCTCATGCTGACCACCGCTCCTCCTCCACCGCCTCCCTTGCAGGGTCAGCCCTCTCAGCAGCAGCAGCCTCCCACAAAAAACCTCCTCCCCCACCTCCCCCCTCAACCAACACCCCAATGCAGCCCCACCACTTTCAGAACTTAGGAGGATTTCAGCCAGCACTGATTCACCCCGGTGCTGCCTCCAACCCATCTGTACCCCAAGCTACGTACCCCCCACCCATTCAGCAGTCAGGACTGCCTCCACCTCCCCCTCCTCCTCCCCAACAGACTCAACAAGGCCAGGCCCAGACCGTTGCCTCCCAGATGTCTTCTGGGTCTCGTGGAGCCCCTGCGTCCTCGACCCCTTTCCACAGCTCGGGGTACCTGAGCACAGGCTGGCACTGACTGCCCGCTTTGCTGTTGACCCGGCAGCCCCTGAGAACTCTACCTGAGAGGGGCATGTACCATAAGCTGTAGATATGTTTTCTATGTACCTGAACACATGGCCAGTGGAAAAACACCTGATTGTGGAATAAAAGGGTACTTTAAAAAAAAAAAAAAAAACAGAGAAAAGGAGGATGGAAAATTTTAGAAAAAAGGACAGTGAAATCACCTGCAACACAAACTATATAAAAATGAAGACAGAAACCCCCGCCCCCCAGTCTCCCCCCGGTGCTCATAGCCTGCTCTCTCTGGCCTCCTTTTGTTTTTATATGTCCTTCCTGTGATGGAGAGGAACGCTCTCTGCTCTATGTTCCTAAGGCCCCACACTTTGTTTATCAAAGGACATTCCAGCATATATCTCACCTTTCTCCTCCTCTTCCTCCTTTGTTGTCAACTCTCCCCACCATTTATTTGTTTTACTCTAGTGGCTCATTATAGCAAAGAGAAAGCTTTTTGTATAGAGAAAAAAAAAACAATTATTTTTTTTATTCCTCTGTCTAACAAATATCTGTTCACCGCTGCAGATTCAGTAAAGACCCATTTCTGGGAACCTGCCTCACCGCCCCAGGAGGCTGCACTCGGGTGTGATTGTGTGTATGTGTGTGTGGTGTGTGTTACAGTGTGTAAAGGAGTATGGCTACTTCGAGGAGGAAAATGTGTGCTAGAGATTTGGAGCAACGAGTGCTCGTAGTCTTCTGAGGTAGGCAGAGTGGCCTCGCCCACAGGTAGGACGTTAGCGGTTTATTTTTGAATATCAATGGTTATTTGTAGAAAGTGTAATTTAATGTATAGGTGATTACTCCAGCTTTCACCAGGAACAGGTTGTAAATATTTGCTTCTTTTCTTTTCTATGCTTGTACAATTCGCTCCCATCCCATTTTGAAATATGACTGTAAATAAGAAAGCTCTTCTTGGCAAAGCTGAATGTTTCTGTGACTGTAGCATTATTTTTATTTTATTTTTTTTCCCCTCTCTCTGGACTTTTCAACTTTGTCTTTTTTTATTATTTGTGTGTGAGTATATGTTTATGTGAAGGGGAGAGACTCAGACACTGCACTGGTTGGCTATTTTCATGGTTCATTATAATAAATCACTGTAATGACAGTTTTATACCATTTGTCGTGACATGTGTCTCTGGTAAAATTTGTGCTTCTGTCTCTGCTGCCAGTTTCTTTGACAGTTATCCACTTGGCTTTCTGCCTTCAGAAGTGAGGACAGAAAATATTCAAGGATGTCAAAAGCCTCTGCTGCAAAGACACACCTTTGAGAAATGTCAGGATCTGCTGGCTCACAGCAAATTTGTAGTAGATATCAAGCTATCTTTGGTTTATTTGTTGGACATTTGCAATTGTTAGGCCATCACAAGACAATCTATAAACCCATAATTGACATAAAATGCTGGAAAATATCAGCCGTTATCTTGTTCCTAGTTCTTCTGTTCCTGCTCACGAACGGACATGGCGCAAAAGTAAATACACACATTATTAATTAATTAAAAAACAATTATTTTTATTATGTCCCAGATCATGTAGTGCAGTGTCAACTTTACATATTTTCTTTGATTCCATATTTGTTCATGTGAACAGACCCATAAAGAAAGGGTTCAACATTTTTGCAATTATCTAGTGGTGAGTTAGGACCAAAGAATACTATGTAGAGCTTTTTGATCAGGAATGTACCTTGATGACAGGGAAGGACAGTGCAAGGAGTCCTTGTGTTATCAGTAGTCCACGTTTTAACTTGGAAAACACTCAGAACTCCATCAGTTTCACATAACACCTAAAGTATCGGGGATATTGTAAAGGGAGGCAGGTTCACAAGGGTGAAGTTACTGTGTGACACATGAGCTTATCCTACTTTGTTTTTAAAAGGTGTTAAAAGAATAGTTTGACATTTTGTGACATACTCTCATCAGCTTTCTGGTGGAGAATGAGTAGATTCAACCAACTCATTTCTATTTTTTTTAAATATAATAACGTTAGATTGAATTCTTGTCATCCACCGGACGCTCTTTCCTTATCTTTAAGCTAAGTGAAGCTAAGACGACCGCCCCATTTTACATAAGGACCTGAAATTGAATTTTTTATTTTTATTTTGATATAGCTAATTATGTACAAGATTCCCGCATTTTTACGTTCAGTGAACACAACACCGGTAGTTCCTTGGTTCACCTCAACTTTGATTGGTTACTATACGTTGTGGCTAGCCAATCACGTGGTTCCCTATTACACGTCCATGCTGTAAGGGTGCATTTGGGTACCGGCTTATTCTCAAGGATATCCCCGCATGTTAGACTAGACATTAAATGTGTATTAGTTATGTGTGTGGACAGTATTGGTTATCTGTGGAGGGCAGTAATACTCCTAGCTGCGTCTACACTTGGATTATAGAAGAAGAAGGCGCTGTCGGGCTTATGGCCTGCAGACAGTCGCGTTAGCAGAGTTAACGCGACTGAGCTTCTACTTTTCCAAAGTGGGGAAAAATATAAGAAAGGCGTCTAAAAGTGAGACTGATCTAAAGACTGCAGAGATCTGATTCACTAGTGTATTGACCATAGGACCTGCTGCCTTCAGTTCCAGGATGTTCCACAAACAGATGGTTACGCGGAGAATGAGACGTTAAGGTACGAAGTTTTAATTATTAATACCTGTGTTTGCACTGTGACTTGCACGGTAATTTGTTGTTCATTTGTATGCACTTGTGAACGAGCAAGAGGTCGTATTTTGTCTTGTTATTGTAAAATATTTCTGAGTTGATCTTTAGCAGATAGCAGTTGCATTTTAATGATGAACCTTTGACTTATTTGTTGCGATTTGCTCCAGTCTTTTGTGGTGGTCCTCTGGCTGTGGTGGACGTTTTGCGACACCTGTTGAGAACAATATTATCCTAGTGGCTCTTCTTATTTTACCTGAAACTCAAACGTCTTTCTGCTTTGTGAAAACTGCAGAGTGCTTTTGCTCTTCAAATGCACTTATAAGTTGATATGGATGTGAAGTTTGAGTTTGTGCATGATCCGGGATTGTCACCACGATCTGGCAACCCTATTTCTAATCTAGCTAATTAACCCTCTACCGGAAAGCCAAGAAGCCAGTTTCCCAAAATATCAGTTTTTCTTTACTGTGCCAAACATTAAGTTTGTGTGCCATGAGGTTTTTAGGCTGTGAGACAGTGAAGAAAATTAGAAAATAATCATGAAATTACAAGATTCAACCTTTTCCAGACACAATTCATGTCAGCTTTAGTTTTTCTTATCCCCTGCAAGTATTTCACAATACTGTCAGATTACAAGATACCCTATGGCACACACTAATAATGGACCTGTTCTTTGACATTTCAAAGTTGAGACATAATACAGGATGTATCAACATATAGTTTTACACAGTTTATAGACTCGATACTTCTCCTATTTAGTGCATTTTTATTTTCAGTGTTTTTCAAAGTTGTCACCAGCAAGAACTCTAAATACTACCTCTTGATTCCATCACAGAAAACATTTAATTACAAGAAAACAGTACTGTTCTGCTCATTTATTCAGCCTAAACGTCTTCAGTCCTCACTTCTTTGCTGATGGCACTCTCCTGAAAAGGTCAGGCCGTATCAGAGCTGCACTCCTTTAAGCAGGCGGTTTGTCGACTTGATAAGACAGAAGATCTGACAGCTTTGACCTCAAGTCTGTTGAGTCCTTATTTGTATTGGTGAAAGGCTGGTTAATTTGTTTTGATTTGAGGGTGTGGCTCTGATGTTTGTTCAAAGAGTGTCCTGGTTCCGATTTAACACA